CCCCTTTCCCACGCCCCCCCCCCGGCTCCCTGTGCCCTCTCTACTCTCTCCCGCTGCTTTCCCGGCGCTCGCTCCCGTGTCCCTCCCCTCTGCCCGCTCTCCCGGCCATGAACGGCTCTGGGGGGGAAGCCCAGGGGGGCTGGCAGCCCGAGGCCCTGCTCATCCCCCTCCTGTACCTCCTCATCTTCCTGGTGGGCACCGTGGGCAACTGCCTGGTGCTGGCTGTGCTGCTGCGCGGCGGGCGGGGGAAGAACACCACCAACCTCTTCATCCTCAACCTGGGGGTGGCTGATCTCTGCTTCATCCTCTTCTGCGTCCCTTTCCAAGCCACCATCTACACCCTGGAGGGGTGGGTGTTTGGGCCCTTCCTCTGCAAGGCTGTCCACTTCTTCATCTACCTCACCATGTACGCCAGCAGCTTCACTCTCACCACCGTCTCCCTCGACAGGTAGGAAAGGGGATGGGGGGGGGCTCCCTGTACCTGGAGACTCCCCTTTCTCTGGGTTCTACTCCAGACAGGGTCCCCTGAAGCACAGCCCTGATTGCTGCTGCCTCCCAGGGAGATCCAGGAGCATTTCACAGCTCGTGGGTGCAAGGACCACTGAGGATGAGGTGCTGCAGAGAGGGTTGGATTTGGGACCCCCAGTGCCCAGCTGGAAGAGGCTTTTAGACTCCAAAGCTGTAGGACTGGGGTTTATCTGCAGGCTCTGGCAGCTGAACAGGGGATAGAAAACCAGAGAGGAACCAAGTTCAGTCCCTGGGCAGCCCTGGCTCTTCCCAGAACACAGAGAGAGCCCCTGCCCTCCCAACAGCCCAAGGCAAAGCAGGAGAACCTCGAGGAGAAAGCACTGGGGTCTGTAAGCTGGGACACTGCTTTTCCCACCCTCCCCTTTCATTAGCAAGAAAGCCCCTTTGTGTCCCAGCAGCTTCCCTTGCCCCAGTGACCATCCCAGGGTGGGTTTTAGCTGGGAAGCTCTATAAAAGCAGCCTGTTGCTCCTGCCTGTGCTTGCGAGGGCTGGTGAGCTCCTAACTGCAGGGAGCAAGAGGCAGGGAGCTCCTGCTGCTGCTCTGGAAACCCATGAGATGTTGGGTTCTGGAAAGCCCAGTGGAATTCCCCTGGGAAGTGCAGTGGCAGCACCAGAGCAAGGCTGGCACCACCTCCCATCCCAGGCTGGCCCTGCTCTGGCTGCCAGGACAGCCCCCCCAGTTTCCCAGAGCTAGAACACAGCCAGGGGCTCCTCCTGCATCCCCCAGAGCTGAGGGAAGGGGGTGTAAAGCAAGCAGGGGCTTGCACAACCCCTGGATCAGGGTTTAATTAAGGAACCAGCTAATTGCAGAATTGAAAACGAGTGATGTGCTTTTGCACGTGGCAGGGGGAGGGGCACTGTGTCTGGGGATGCTGGGGACTTGCTCCTGCCTTCGTGTTCCCAATTCCACCATCCCCTGTGCCAGATCGACTGATGGTTGAGTGAGCACTTCCCCATGAGCACTGCCAGGACCCCAGAGGGTGACAGGACAGGGCTGGGGGAGAGGACCCTCCTTCCTCTACTGGGACCCACTGAAATACCAGGGAATCAACTGTGGGACTAATTGCCCTGGAAAGCTCAGATCCATCACTTTTACCCTTTCTCCAGTCTGCTCCTGGGGTGGCTCTCTGTGCCCTCCCCAGGCCTGCAGTCATGTCCCTCTCCATCCCCTGTGCAGGTACTTGGCCATAAGATACCCCCTGCACTCAAGGGAGCTGAGGACCCCCAGGAACGCCCTCCTGGCCATCTGCATCATCTGGGCACTGTCCCTCATCTTCTCGGGCCCCTACCTCAGCTACTACCAGCAGTTCCAGCTGGCCAACCTGACCGTGTGCCACCCCATCTGGGAGATCCCCCAGCGCAAGGTGATGGACATCTGCACCTTCATCTTCAGCTACCTCCTCCCCGTGCTGATCCTGAGCCTCACCTACGCACGCACCATCCGCTACCTCTGGAGCTCCGTGGACCCTCTCCAAGACATGTCGGAGTCCAGGAAGGCCAAGGGGAAGGTCACCAGGATGATCATCATCGTAGCCCTCCTGTTCTGCCTCTGTTGGCTGCCCCATCACCTGGTCATCCTCTTTGTGTGGTTCGGGCACTTCCCCCTCAACCACCTCACCTACGTGCTGCGCATCCTCTCCCACCTCGTCTCTTACGCCAACTCCTGCGTCAACCCCATCGTCTACGCCCTGGTCTCCAAGCATTTCCGCAAGGGTTTCAAGAAGATCTTCAGCTGCCTCTTGCACAAGCAAGCAGCCAACAAGGTGCACCTGGCCCAAGGTACCAACACCCTCAGTGTGCTGGAGGCAGAGCTCAGCCAGGTGACCCACCTCAGTGAAGCTCTGCTCGGACACCCTTCCCTGAGCTGCCAGGTCCCAGCCCAGCCCTGGGGGGAGGCAGAGCCCCTGGGACAGCAGCAGGAAGCAGATGGCTCCTTCATCACCTTCAGGGTCACCTAGCACGGCTTCTTCCCACCCCCAGGGCTTTTGCCTGCAGTGTGGCAGGCCTGGGGATCAGCTATGTTTTGGGTTGAAATGCATCGATTTGGACCCTTTTTCGTTCAAATGTGTAACTCTGCAAGCAGTGCTGCTGCTGCAGGCTCAGCCAAGTGACCCACTGAGGATCTACGGGCAGGATTTGCTTCCACCAAGCACTTGCTAAAAGCAGAGAGATCAAAATCCCCAAATCAACTCTCATGTGTAATCACTGCTTCCTCCATCATGGATGAACTCACACCCCGGGTTGCATCTACACCTGGAGTCTACTGAAAGCTCTGGTCCCTCCAGCCACCACAGTGTCTGGCTGGAGTCAGCAGTCTGTGCTTTTAGGGACATTTGGGAAGTCCTGATCTGTTTGTGTCCCAGGGCACTGCTGGCCACAGCCACACAGGCACAAACCCAGCTCAGGTAGGAAAATCCAGGAGAGAAAAGTAGAAATCAGGAGACAAACCTTCTGTTTGTTTCTGGCCAGGCTTCACATCTCCCTGGGGCTTGGGGAAGTTTTCCCTAAGATGGGACATGGCTGGAAGCAGCATCCATGGCCAAGACAAGTGCCATGGCCTAAGGACAGGACTGCTGAGGGCACAGGACACTGCTCTGTGCTGCTGCTGGTGGCTCATCCCTGCCATTTGATGCATGTGAGGCTCTGCAGAGCATCCAGAGGTCACCAAGGACCAGTGGGGAGGGCAGCAGTTTCCCAGGGGAGCTCAGCCATGGCCTGATGGCAGAGGCTGTGGTTGCCAGGGGAAGCAAGGTGGGACACCAGGGGATCAGTGCAGGGAGAGGACTTTGATGCTTCCAAACAGCTTGGGCTCAGCTCAGCATCTCGGGCCAGGCAAGGTCCTTGCAGAGCAGAACTTAGCAGAGCACTGGCCCTGCTTTCCTGTGGCCGTGGGGTGATGCCAGGGCTGTGTGAGTGCTGGGGGACCCTGGCGAGATGGAGAAGCCACAATAAAACCAACCCTTCATCCTGCATCAGTGTTTCCCATTCCCTTGAGAAACCCCACAGCAGAGGAGATGGGCACTGGAGGGGTGGGGGGACCCGTTGGCCTGAGGAAGCCCCAGGCAGCAGGGGGTGAAGCAGGTGGGTTATGGCTGAGCACGTTCATCAAATGACACCGTGTTCCCCTCAACTCAGCTGGACCTGAGCATGAGAGGCTGACGTGGCTGATGGGCTCCCCACTCTTAACACTTCCAAGGCTCCATGAGATCCATCATTTTAAAAGGGCATCATGGGAATAGGATCAATTAGCTCTTTTGAAAGCCCTGCAGCAGGGCACAGCCAGAGGAGGTGGTGAGAGCACCCAGGAATGGGAATGAGCTGGGCTAAATATCCCTGCAGTGCCCAGGGCTGTACCCTGACAGCACCAACCACTTGTGAGGATCAAGTCTCTAGAAATTGCCCTTGCAGTGAGTATAAACCTGTCTGTACCCATTTCCCTGCTTGTGCACCCCCTTGGCAGAGCTCCCCAGGACTGGGATGCATTGCAGGAGGCTGTTGCTACCCAGCACCCAACCCACTCCCCATCACTCTGCCCTCCACCACTCCCCAGGAAGCTTTTGGTTGTCAAACAGTTCTTTTCCCCTGCTGAGTGTTACTATAACCAGATCTTCCTGTCCTCCCACAGAGGGCCATAAATCGGCCACAGCCTCATATCAATAACCCTTATATTTAGTCTAGGCCTGCTCATGGCATAAGTCACAGAGAGCAAGTGTATAAACAGCTCAATTCAGTACATCTGGATTTATGTCCCCTTCCCAGCCAGGGAAAACATTGAAATCAGCCACACAAACATAGCTAAAAGCCTTGTTTTTCTCCTGCCCTCATCCACCTCTGCTCAGAGAGCCACAGGGTCTGGCTCTGATGGATCCCTCCACACCGAGGGGTTCAAGCCTCTCTCCTGGACAGAGTTATCACCTCCCCTTGGGGATGGAGATGTTGTCCCACTGCCTCTGCAGTGCCCAAGGACAGGGGTCCCTGTGCTAACATGGCTCAGGGTGCACTGTCCCCTGTCCCTTCATCCCATGGCAGAGGAGTCACAAACCCTGCTCCCCTCCATCTCACCTTCCCCAGACCTGTTCTCCTCTCACACCCACAGACCACAACCTGAGATGCTGCAGGGCATGATGGTGCCCATCCCAGGGTCACACCACAGGTCACACCACCCAGCTCATTCCCCTCCACAGAGGGCTGAGTTCCCAGAAAGGACAAGAGTTGCTCCTGAGTTCATCTTTTTATAGCTTTCACAAGAAAATAAAAATAACCAGCTCACAGATGTGCCAGTCAGTCAGCAAACCTCCATCTTTGCATTGTGCCCAAGCAGGAGGCTCAAAATCCACCCAAAAAGAGCCCTGTGGGGGAAAGAAGGAGCTGGGCTGGTGCCCACTTCACCATGGAGTTAGAGTTGGGGTGCCAGGGGAAGGACCCAAGAGGAGGAGCAGCCCCCCAGGGCTGCTGCTGCTCACAGAGAGCCAGCACATAGCACCTGGCCCTGACAGACCCATGGGGAGCAGGGCCAGGCAGAGGGGCCTGCCTGTCCCCAAAAACTCCTCACCCAGCCCCAGGGAGGCTCCTGGTGCCACCCCTGAGCTGGCCCTGGGAAAACCTGAGGCCACAGCATGGCCACTGACCTCTCAAGTGCCCAGTGCCAAGCTGCCCCCAGGCTGGGGGACAACCCCAAGCAGCAAAGCTGGGGCTCTGGGGACCCACTTCTCACATTCCCTGCTGGATCCTTCGGCAGCAGCGTGGCCACCAGGGAACAGCCAAAGAAGAGGCAAGTAACCCTGCTGGGTGGCTCTGGGTGACAGCACTCTGGCTGTGCAGGCAGGGCACCCCGTGGTCCCACCCTAGCAGAAGCAGGCTCACAGCAACCAGCAGGAGACAAGTGTTAAATGAAGTTTATAAACTCAGGTCACCTCACCAAAGCAGCTCATCAGAAGCACACACAGCTCAGAACATCCCTGCTCCCCCTCAGCTCAGCTTTGCTGCTCCTTTTTGCAGCTTTGGGTCTTTTTGAGGAGCCCCAACATGGCTGTAACACCAGCACAGCAAGCAGAGCCCTGGGACACAGGTGCTCTCACCCCACTGCAAGGCCCTGGCAGAAAGGGGGTTAGAAGTTAATGATAATAATGAATCAATGGGAAGAAGGATGGGGCTTGCAAATCCCAGAGATGGAGCTGCAGGCTGCTCAGCTTTGTGAACAAGCTGCCAACTGCTGCAGGTACAAAACAGCTGGAGCTTCCCATGGCCTGTGTCACCTGCATCCAACAGCAGCAGCCTGGAGGCTGGGGGAAGGTGCAAAGAACTCTGCAAGAACAAATCAGCACCAATGCAACAAGCTCCCAGCTTTGTCTCTGCTGTGTGCAGCCCTGGGTGGCTGCAGGGACCCCAGAGCTGGTACCCATCCCAAAATAATGGTCAATGCTGAGGAAGCCATAAGAGCAGGTAGCACAGCCAGACCCTGGCACATTCCCCCAGCCTGGCTCACTGCAGGAAAAACCAACAACAACAAAACCCAAAAACAGTCAGAGAAATGGGGCTGCAGCCCCAAATCCCAGGAAATCAGAGACACATCCCCCAGCTTGTCCCTGTGTGTGTCAGGGGATTGACCAACAGGTGGAGCAGAACGGGTGTCAAACCCTGCAGGAGCCTTGGAGGAGGCACAAAGGGAGGCACAGAGGGCTCTGCTCCAGCCCTGGGGAAGTGCCAGGCCAGGTTCATGGCCTTTTCCCATGGTCTGAGCTCACAGCTCCACGCTGGGCTCATAGCAGGGGGTGTGAAGTGCTGGGCTGTGAGGGTGTCAGCCGGTGCTTGGCTGCCATCATCACTCTTAATTAACACATTGCAAAGACATTCCTTACCATAAAAAGCCAAGGAGCACAAGAAGCCCTTCCCTAGCTGTGCAGCACGACGTGACTGGGACACTGGAGGTCAGCCCTGAGGGGCAAGTGGCTCCCCCTGCTCCCCCCCTCAGGAGGGGTGGCTCTGGCTGAAGGGTGCTGCTGCTCCCAAAGCAGGGAGCTGCTGCAGCAGCTGCTCAGCCAGGCCAGGAGCCTCACCACCTCCCTACATTCATTCCCTGTGCAGGGCAGGGGCAGGTGATGTGGGAAGAATTAGAACCAGGGTGAAAGGAGGCTGGATTTAGGAAATAGGGACCAAGTGGCTCCACTTTTCCTTTAGTTCAGGGAAGACAAGGGTTTTGGACTCCCATATAAGAGCCATACAGCCAGAAGCCAGCTCTTCCCCCAGCTACTCACCACTTCCAGTTTCTCCTTACTTCATGGCTGCCACTGAACCAGGTCCTCAGCCCCCAGCAGCCTCTCACCCCCTTTCTTCCTCCAGATGTGGCCAGGGCATCCTTGGGATAGAAAACAACCCAGCCAACTGCTGTTGCTGGTAATGGAAGGACCAGAAGGGAGCAGGACATTTTGCATCCCCTTCTCTGATTGCATCTCTCCACCTCTGAGCTGAGCTGGACCAGCTCCAGCTCCACCAGCCTCACACTGGTAGAATCTTCCTGGGAGGGACAGGCTGACAGCAAAGGCCAGAAATGTCTCTTTCAGTATAGGCCATGCAGAGGTGTTCCCAAGGTCTCCAGAAGAAGTTATGTGGACCCATCCCACCCCCTAAGGGATGTCACACATTTTCTTTTGGCCTCTGGCTAGCATAAGTGCATCAGCACAAGGAGGATACCAGCTCCCACAGCAAAGCCCAGATGGTCCAGAAAGGCTGTGAGCAAAGTTCATCCCTTCCCTCCCCTGGCTTTGCCTGCAGCTGTTCCAGGTGAATCTCTTCACCCTGGGATCAGCTGCAATAAAACAAGTTTTGCAGCCTCAGCCTAAGTACAACTAATTCCACACACTCTCCTAGAGAAAGAAATTCAGATCAGACCACTGCTGTGGCAGAAACAGGTCGAAAAAGATGGAATCCAGTTCCTTCTGGTGAATGTCAGCTTATCCACCAGGCTT